TTCTAGGGACTCGGACGTGGACGACAGCTTCGGCGAGCTGAGCAGGGAAGCCTGTGAGGACGACGATAGAGACGTCTAGCGATGAAATGGACGTGCAGATCGTGCGGAGCTATGGGCACATCGTTGCGGATACGCATTAGTTATCACTTATCATGTACATACTGAGGTATCAAACGTCCTGGAATAAAGATATTCGATGAACCAGAAGGCAGTCCCTATCCGTTAGGCACCCATCATTCAAGTCGTGGAGCATTCGTCTCTCTCAAATCTGCATGCATAAAGTTGGTGGGATATTTCAATGAACAACGTCCTCAAGACCTCAAATATCGTCTCCGCGGGCGAGCTGGAGGCCGGAAACCCTTTCCGAGTCTCAGGCCTCATTCGGGAAACGGAACTCTATCGAAAAAACCATCGAAATAATTTTGTCCACCTAGGAATTGATTTTTGACCACTGTGCGGCGGAACCTTCCTCATCAAACCAGCTCCAGCACTCGCAGAAAAGAAGAATCTCGATCACCAGCAGCAGTCGTGAATATCCGCTCCGGCAAAATGACAACTGTAATCGAAAACCATTCGACAGCTCGGGTTGTTCTTCCGAAAGGGATGTTCATCGCCGAAGCGTCGCCGCTCCAAGAAGAATTTACAATCGCAGCTCTCGGAGGAAACTCGGCACAAAACCTCGAAACACAGTCGGAGAGGAAGATCTCGCCGAGCCACCACGCCGAAGAGGAAATCGAAAACGCGATCGAAAAATCGCTGCTGGAAGGGGAGAGACGAAAAATCAAAAACATAATTGCTGAATTTCCCTTGCTCATTCCAAAAAAAGACGATCCTCCGAGGCAGACGCACTTGGTTCAAGCATGCGATCAATACAGGAAACCATGCGCCGGTGAAGAGTCGCTACGCGAAACGGTATTCACCGGCCGAGAGAGACTACATTGCCGCCGAGGTTCGGAAAATGGAAGGACAAGGAGTCGTGCAACCATCCGCGTCTCCAGCGAAGGAATTCTTCCAGATCCTGAGATTGGAAACGGCTGCTCCGTTCACGGTATGTGGGGTGGACTACGCAGGGCCGATCTCGTACAAACAGGGAGACAACAGCCTTCGAAAGAGCTACATAATCCTGTACGTCTGCCCGGCTTCGAGAGCCATCCATTTGGAATTGGTCCCAGATATGTCCGCATACGAGTTTCTCCTCTCATTGAAGAGATCCCTAGCCAGATTCGGCGGAGTATCCCGCACCATTTCGGCTAATGGGTTGTCGTTCGTACGAGCGGCAAAAGAGCTGAAGATTTTCTATGACCATATCAGAAGTCCGGCAGTCCAACAAGATCTAGTTAATGCGGAGATCGTTTGGGAATTCATCTCACCCCACGCCCCCACCCACGGCGCGTGGTGGGAACGTATGGTGCAAACAGTGAAACGTCCGCTAAGGAAAATACTCGGTAGAGGCGCATTTAGATTCAGGGAGTTAGAGACGGCTCTTTTCAAAATCGAATCCCTTGTTAATCAAAGACCCCTCACAGCGGTGCAACTGGATCCGAATGAAATCAGCGCGTTTACGCCAGCAGATTTACTTTATGGGCATAGAGCGAAACCGACCCTACCAGAAATGAAATTCAGTCCGGATTCGAGAGAAGCGGCGAACTCGATCGTTTTCTCGGGACGCTGGAAACACCAGCAATCAGTGGTTCGGGCTTTTCAGCAGCGGTTTTCGGAAGAGTACCTTCAGTACCTTAGAACGGCACACATAAGGTCGCCAGTCGCTGCGCGTAGTATCCAGGTCGGGGACGTTTGCCTGCTACAGGATCCGAGCCCTTCAAGAGCGCGGTGGCCTCTCCGTCGCGTGCTCAGTCTTTCCGGCGGGGAGAGAACGGATCGGCGGCAGCGATCCTGCCTCGTCAAAACGGCTACGGGCCAGGTCTTCCAGAGACCGATCCATTGGTTATACCCACTCGAGGTATAGAGCACACTAGAGAAGTACTGAGAGGAAGCATAAGGAAACAATTAACAGATTCCTCATATAGAGAATTTATTCGTTAACTTAATCAAGGGTACGAACGCACAATCATTGATCCGAATGAAGAAGAGAACGGAATACGAGCGACTCTTCAAGACGATCGACCAAACGGAATGGAAATTCGAGGGCAGTGATCTATCGGCGGATGAGATGAGCGAATCAATGTTGAGGAGATGTCAAGACGTAGTCAATGACTGTACGACGTTTACGCGACTCACTGCAAGGTTCCGACCCGTTCGGGAATGGATGTCGCCCGGCGTCGTGGGATCAACGCGTAAGAGAGCCAAGATGTACAAAAAGTACAGAAGAGAGAGGAAGCTTAGCACTAAAATCATATATATGAAAGCTACGACAGAATTCTACAGAAACTTCTGAGGAGAGCCAAAAGAGAGTACTACGCGAAGAAGATAGAGGAGGCGGCAAACGATACGAGAAAAACCTGGTCTGTGATAAACTCTATATTCAGAGGGAAGCAAACCGGGCCTGCAGCAGGACCAGAACTCATTGGACTCTCCATCGATGAAATTAATGAGAACTTCGCCGAGCTAGGGAAGAAAACTGTGCTAGATAACATTGGGGAAGTGGATCCAAACATGAAGCCGCCGAGTCCAGCCGACCACTCAATGAATGAGTTCAAGCATCCTGACGAGTCGGAAGTCGAACGGGTGCTAAGAGAGCTGAACGTGAACGAGGCTCCGGGTTGGGACGGGATAGGTGCAGACATCCTCAAGAACTGCTATCAGTCTCTAAAGGCACCTATCACCTCAATGGTCTGTAGAATATTCGAGACATCTACCTACCCGAGGAGCCTGAAGAGGGCCTTGCTCTTCCCAGTGCACAAGAGTGGAGATCGGACTAACATCTCTAACTATCGACCGATCTCACTCCTTCCAACACTGAACAAAGTAGTAGAGAAGATCATGGCGAATCGACTCAGAGAGTATCTGGAGGAGTTCGGAATCATAGACGAGAAACAATTTGGATTCAGGACTGGCAGAGGTAGTGAGGAAGCGGTATATGAGATCACGAAATGTATCTCAGAGTCTATCGAATCAGGAGATTACTGTGTGGCAGTATTCTGCGACCTGAGTAAGGCGTTTGACACGCTCGACAGAAGCAGACTGAAGAACAAACTAGATCGAGCCGGCGTTCGGGGTAGAGCTCTGGACCTCCTGACATCGTATCTCTGCGAGAGGACGCAGATTTATCGATCGGCTAACGAGACTAGCAAAGAGACACTTGTCAAATGTGGAGTGCCACAGGGCAGTGTTCTAGGGCCCCTGCTATTCAATATCTACATGAATGACGTATTTACAACGGCGAGCCCGCACAGAGTAATGGCGTTTGCCGACGATACAGTGCTGGTGATAAGAGACACTGACATGATCTCAGTCTGCCTAGAGGCGGAGATCTGTCGGACAGGGAGGTCGCCGAATGGATGGAGATTAATGGTCTAGTTCTTAACTTGGGAGAAACTAAGAGCATGTCGTTCTGTGGCACCGGGAAAAACACAATAAGCCTGTTGAAGGTCAAGATTCGTAGCTCTGGTCAGGAGTAGAAGAGCAGCCCGTTCAGGAATACACAGAGATGAAATCTCACGAGAGGGAGATACCACAGTGAATTTTATTCGAAATCTTAGGTCATTTACACCTAGGCAGGAGTCTAAGCTCCTCCTTACATATCCTGATCCGTACATACATATGTCACGGGTATATGGCCCCGTGGGTTGGTATGAGTCATAGTCCTAGTACGGAACGAGGACTAGTAGTTTCCAGTTTCTACCTTAACCTCAACAAAGCCCTGCCCCGATCCGCCTGCACGAACGAGAATGTAGAATTGATGACTGCCACTGCCCGGCATTAGAATTCGTGGACAGATACAAATACCTGGGACTAATAGTTCAAGCCGACCTCGAATTCACCGGACACGTTGAGAAAATTGTATCTAGAGCCAGGTCTGGCGTTGCCATACTCGCAAGACTGAGGGGCTGCTGCTTCATGACGCTCAAAAAAGCAGTATATCACGCGCTCATTGCATCCCATGTCAACTTCATGTTATCAATCTATGGTGGTACACATAATCAACTGATCGCTAAAATCGAGAGACTCCAAAGAAAAGCCCTGCGTTTCATACGTAAGTCAAGCTGGGATGCAAGCTGTGCTCCTCTTTACGAAAGAACGAAAATCTCGACTATACAGGAATTGTACGTGAAAAGCCTCGTCCGATTGATGTACCCCCGAGTGCCTAGTCTAGAGAGACCATCTCACGAGCACCCCACCAGATTCAGTGAAGAACGATCTTATCTATCCCCAGACTTAAGAAAGACTTCTCCCGAAGAAGTGCTTTATGGAACTTCATCCGCCTTAACAACAAATCGCCCACCGATCTGAAAGAGCTGTTCGAGAGCCTAACAAAAGTAGACAGGAAAAAAAGTCAGAAGCAAATCGAAGAGCCAGGCATAACGTTGAAATGAGCTGCCGGATTCCCCCCCCCCTTTTTAGGTATCGACAAAATGAACTCATGTTTTCGGCGCGCCCATTGCAGGCGCCATTTAGTGGTGTATCAAGAGGATGCAAATGAATAACTTAGTCAAGTTGAAAAAAGAAAATTAATCAAAACGATCAGCAGAGTCGCGAGTAATATGTATCATTTTGTATCGGAAATAATTTCGGAGATATGATCAAACAAACGGGAAGAGACTGAGCGACGCAAGGAATCTCGACGGCTGCGTGGACAACTGGCGGTTTAATGGTCGGGGAGTCGGCGGTTGGCTGAGCGAACGGACGGCGATCGGCTGCTCGGCTAGGCAGCGACGACAGGAGCGGTATTCGAAAGGCCGAAGGACGAACGAGTGGCGGCTGGGAGGCCGACGAAGGGGAAGCGGCCATGGGCTGCAGGAGGGGTTCGCGACGCGGATCGGCGAAGTCCAGTGCGGCAGCGTCTAGGCGTTGCATCTGTGCAATGCGGCGTACGCGATCTAGGATCCCTTCGGAAACTGCGATCGGTGGAGGATCCTGAGTACCGCGTCGGCGGGCAGTCACGGCGGCCTCACAGTAGAGACGTCTTTCCAAAAAACTCATTGTATCCCATACCTGACGGCAGGCGCGGCGAAGTTCGTCATAACGTAAGTTCCGGATTTGTCGCGCGTGGGTGACAGAGTTCACGAATAGGCCGTGCGGGCTGCGGTTGAAGCTGGACATCACGATTGTTTGGAGTCCGATGTGGTTCGGGGTGAGAATGACCCCGTGGAACGAAGAAGTTTCTAACTCGGCTCGAAATTAAGGAAAGGGGGGCCGTCGAACGCTCTCCAAATCCGTTGAAAATTCGGCGAGTTCATCCAATGACTCGATTCTAGACCCGACATTTCGGCTCATATGTCCCACTGCACATCTCGCGCTATCGAGTTAGGTAAAGCTGCAGAAATTTGTTTCCGCCGTCCGAGAGTCCGGTCAAATGTAAAGGGTAGCGAATCTCGAGAATTCTCGAATATCGAAGAATCAGCGGGCGTGCACCGCCGCGCGGAAGTGTAATCCATTAGCACCAGCCGACGAAAGGTTATTCGAGAATTCGGCCGGGAGTGTCGCGCATAGCTTCGCATGAGCGTACTTAAGCAGAGACACGAATAATATGTTGTCGAAATAAATGCCCCGAGGGGGGCCGGAGTGGCCTGATGTATGTTTGGAGGCGACATGCACGTCGAGCCGGGCCAGAGGTAGGCAGCGGCGAGGCGTCGTGTCGTCAGTCGGTACGCGGCTTCGACCAACGAAGCAGCTACATGTTCAAGCGGCTACGACGGTTCCTTCGAGGATTTCCAGAACTAGGAAAATTCAGTCTTTTCCTTTAACCCACGTAGAGCCAATTAGTGGCACCATAAGTCCAGTGGCGTATCCAGGGGGGAGGGCCAAGGGGGCCATGCCCCCCCCCCAAAAAATTTCGCCTTCATACTATCTAAGTCGGATCGTTCGAACTCGAGCGCGTTGACGATTCGGTGGACGGCTGAACTCTTTCTCTCCGAAATAAGACCATGACTTTTGGGGAAATTCACGGCGGTTCGAGTTTCTAGCGTGACCCCATTAAGACACTAGGTCGATCGAGGGCGGATTTCTACGGCCAAGGCAACTGAGGAATCGTTAGTCAGATTCGAAGAGCTCTCATGATGAAAGGTCAGGGAAAACTCACCAGTTTCTTTTCGAAACAGTCAGCATGCGACAGCGATCGCATGAATTGTGAGCGCAGTACACGGGATCGATTCTCTCCAGCCAGCTATAGATAGTCCTCGGGAAAAAAAATTGCCCCCCTCCCAAAAAAAATTCTGGAAACGCGCCTGCATTAGTCTCCCTACTGGTGAAATCGTGCCGCTGTGGGGACGTTCCGTTACCTTTGAGTTCTTTCCACATACCCACAACACCTGACGAGTTTTGGTCAGACACTCAGTATAACAGAACAGACAGTTGGTGTTACCCAGTATTTATTCCAAATAATGCAGTGCTCATATAAGTCCAGAAGAAGTGTAAAGTGATCTGGAATCTGGTGAATTCTACCGTGGATATGTCACTACCCGTGTCGAGTTCCATGGATTCATCTTGATCATTGACTCGAACTTTCAGCATTATAGGCTCCTTGTCATTTCCTCCGACATAGTTGAACGGTACCTCCTGAAGAACGTAGGTCGGTTGACTTTTCTCACACACCGACGCCAAATGGCTTTTTTTCTTGCAGAGACGACACTCGGTGTTCATAAGATGGCACACATCGCCAGGTGCGAAATGATTCGTTTTTCCACATCTGGAGCATCTCTTCGTTGAGGTTTGGTTGTGAGATTTCGAGGGGATGTACCCCATTCTTTTTGGACCGTTTCTTCCTTGTTCAGGAAATTGCTGCGGGGATATATTTCATTCACATTCTGCGATTCGACGGCGTTGACTTGGGTTGTTCGGGAAACCGAGGCAGATTTTTTTTGCATTGATCAGTTCCCCTATCTTCGTGAACACTTCCGATAGGTCCCTGGACGCAGCACATTTGACTAGAATTGCCTGCTGAGTGGATGACTCGCTCAATCCGCCTATGAACTGTTCTATGAGATTCATCTGCAGCTCCTCACCTTTCCACCAGCAATTTCGTGCGCCGTTTCGCAAGCGAGCTTCAAAGTCATCGAGAGATTCGCCGGCATGTTGTCGTATGCCGCGAAATGTTAATCGAACTCTCCACACGTTTTCGCCCGGTTCGTAGATTTTCCTTGAATAGTGCACAATCTGATTGTACGTTAGTTCCTCAGGCTTCTTATCTGATGGAACTTTGTTGAAGAATTTTGTGAACGCTTCGGCTCCCATAAAAGCCAGGCTCGCACATTGCTTATCCTCTGAGGTGGTCTTCTTTTCGTATTCCAAGTAATTTTCGAGTCGACAGAGCCACGCTGAGAAGCGTTCGGTCGGAAAGCTTGAAATGTTGCTGATGTAGAACTCACCATGATCACGAAATATCACCACCCCACGAAGCTGTCGGGTTCGGGTATCCTGTCCTTGTCGCCAGTTGTTGAACTTTCTCCGTGCACTGACTTATTAGTTTCTAGCAATAGAAATGAGGACGACCTGCGTGGTCATGGCTCGACACTCGACACCGAACTGGCGCCGATACGAAGCAGTCTGCTTCCCTTTGTTCATTTGTCATATTGGCGGGACGCCTAAATCGTAACCGTTTCGACAATATACATCTTTAGAATGGTTGTTTCAAAACTGCGTGCCCGTCTATTCTAAATGCGCGCGCTTCCAGCACCAATTCTCGGGCGGAAGCGACCGCGACGGAACGATGACACGTGCCGCCGCCATCGCGGAGTGAGAACGACTGCGAAGGCAACATTCCGTGGAAGAACACTCGACACTCGAAGACTCACGGTCGAAAGAGGATCTCAAGCCGGTAAGCCAGTGAAATCGATGTTCAAGGTTTGCAGATCTGATAGAGCAGGTGCTCAGATACTTCTCTCAGGAGCATTCTTCTTCTTCCTCATCAAACGCTGCCACCTCTCGATCAAAAATCGACCGGTTCATTCATCAAAAGACCAGGATAACGATTGATGATATGGAGGAGAGAACACCATTTGAACTCGGATACCACAAACGAGCTCCTGAAGGACGTGGTCCTTCCCTGTTTCCATCACGAGAAAAAACTAAAGTCATCATGAGGGAACTCGGACTAGGAGGATCGGCTAGGGACATGATCTATTCCATCGAAAACCTGGTCGATGAAGAGGGATGGGCTCCTAAGTTTCTTCTGTCTGGACATGCCGATATTCTATCGTTTCTGCCCTCGTGTCCTCAGACACTTATGGAAACTTTCACTAATCGTCACTTCGTGTCTAGTCATGAGGGTTTTTCATGCCTATATATATTGTGAGAGGGCAAATTCAGTTTGAATCCCTTACAATTATCTCCGTCTACTTAGAGCTTGGGAAAGCGCGCTGGTTGACGTTCAAACGATCCGCGCGCATCGCCGACAATGCGAGGGCACAGCGGGGAGAGGTTTCTCCGAGACTGCTTGGTAGAGACTTTCGTCGTGAGACACACATCCGAATGTTCACACAGCGAAGCTGGTCGCATCTAAGTGTCACCCGACCGCACCAGAATAGAAGGGAGTGAAAGTAGATCTCATCGGCAAACTCAATCCTACATTTTTGGTGGAGATCAACGGTTTCGGTTCCCGTACCGAAAAGTATCAGGGAGAAAGACCGACGCAACGCTCCCCAGCGGAGAAAAAGTCCCCAATGGCCTTACGTGCAGCACGTGCTCGGAAACAAATGTCTTCCGAAGGAGTGCTGTCCCAGCAGAGGAGCAAGTTCAAGCTCAAGATCCAGCCCAAGCGCCAGCCCCGGTATGTCGAAGTGATCTAATCGAGCTCAAGCAAGCCCCAGCACGAGACTCAGCCGGAAATCACACACCGTTAGACCTAGCCGCAGGACAAGATTTTCCGACACCAGGGCTCAGCGATTACGAGCCATTGTCGATTCAAAAAGCGAAACCACCTCTCGAGCAATCGGTTCAACCAGAATATGTTCCGATACCATCGACACGAGCGGCATGTCCCAGGCCGATATGATGGCTCTGCTTCTACAGCTGTATCTACAGCTCTCGGAGGGACAAATCCAGAAGCCTAAGAAGATAGACTACCCGCAGTTTTCCGCAGAGTCAGGAAGAGTCGATGATGCGTCCGCATTTTTGAGAGCATTCAATCGCACGGCCGAGTTCAATGGCGATGACGACAGAGCGGAATTCAGATGGTTTCCATTCAGTCTCAGAAGAATCGCGTTGACTTGGTTCGAAAGTACGTTGGCAAGATGCAGCACCTCGGACGATCTCGAATAGGAGGTCGAAACCGCTTCGTGTACTAAGCGCACGAACGGGTGATGGAAATGCTGCGACGCGAACGAATGCTGAAAGAAGACAAAGAAAAATATGTGGCACGCCTGGAAAGTTTCGTACAGCTGTGCTACGACTACGATCGCCGACCGCGTCATTCAAATACTGGAGCCGGAAGACATACGAGCGATCGCTATGAGCAAGCCCCAGTCGCTTGGACAACTTCGGAGTCACCTCGCGTGCTTGGATCGCACCATTCCTCATTCCAACGCATGCAGAGAGACAAGGATCGACCCAGTGCCAACAGCGTCGGTAAACCAGATTTCGAGATCACGCTCCCCCGAACGGAGGCGAGACCCAAAGAACTCCGCTTCTTACGTTCACGATCCAATTCAAGATCCAGCCGTCATTCCAGCTTCACTCCAGTACAAACCGAACCAGCTCCAGCAGCCCAGCCGAGGCCGGCCTAATATCAAGCCCAGCAATCCAAGATATTCCGGCCGCCTCCGGTCCCACCCATGGAATTTCATGTAGACTCAGACGATCTTTTCGGAACCAACGAACTCGGCGTCCACATCGGAAACCGTCGATTAGCAGATGGTCGGACCTTGTGTAACTACTGCAATATCATAGGCCACACGATTAAATATTGCAGAAATCGAATCAGACGACATGCAAAGGCATGCGAACGGCCCCAGTAGCGACAGCAGCGGCAGCCGGGAAACTCCTCAGGCCGTTGAGGGCAACTCGTGAAGACCCCAACGCAGCCTTCGAACTTCACAGAAATAATGTCACAGGGTATTCAGGTGAATCAGTACTGGCGCCCGCCCTCGTATTAGCCCCAAGAGCGATCTCAAATATCGGTCCACCCCGTTTCGCCGCCGAGACGTTTCGCCGCCGAGACGTTTCGCCGCCGGCCGGTTCGCCGCCGGGCGTTCGCCGCCGGACGTTTCGCCGCCGGACGTTTCGCCGCCGAGACGTTTCGCCGCCGGCCGGTTCGCCGCCAAGAAAACATTCGGAAAAGATGATGAAAACATTAACGAAAGATGAAGAAAATGTTAGGTAACAGATGCCCGACTCCCAGATGCCCGACTCCTAAATGCTTGGGTTTGGCCCCCTCGCGCTTCCGAACCCTCCCGAGCCAAGAGGAAGTGAACCTTCTAAACGCTCGGCGCTCGACTTTGCCTTCTGAGCTCTCCTATCGAACTTCGTTTGGCTTCCTCATCAAAGTACCATCTCCAGTTGCGGCTCACCACTGAATAGGGAATACCGAATTGAGGCTCTTCGGTCTCGATGGTGCTTCCTACTGCCGCACCCATCAATGAGACTGATCCCATCCAGAGTCCGGAAGCGGTTGGGATGACGTATAATTCCGTGATACCTCAGTGAATTAGTCCGAGAGATGACAGAGACGGACATCCAGTGAAGTCAATGGAGCTTCTCCGAGCGTCTGCCCAAGGAGCGGGTTTGTTGCTCTTAGGAATCGACGGATCGAGATTGAGCCGTTGATTTTCATTGGGAAAGAAATAGAATACCAAGCTTGCCCGATTGTGGTAGCTGCAAATCGGCGTTCTCTTTTCGGGGCTGAATAAGATGACAGACCTCAGACATAGAAGCTTCTCTATCTCTTGGCTCAGGAGGCGTCGCAATCGGGAGAGGGCATCTGGGAGTCGGGCATCCGGGAATCGGGCATTTGGGAATCGGGCATCTGGGAATCGGGCATCTGAGAGTCGGGCATCTGGGATTCGGGCATCTTGGGCTACACCGAAGAAAACATTAAGAAAAGATAAAGAAAACATTAAGAATAGATTAAGAAAACATTGAGAAAAGATTAAGAAAACATTAAGAAACTATTAAGAAAACATTAAGAAAACATCAAGAGCTTGTCTTAGGCTTGCCAGGGCAATCGATACGCTGTTAGCGAATGTCCGTCATGTCCTCTTTGTTATAACGAGATTCCACAGTGTTTAGATTGACGGAGATGCTTGGATGCTTTCATGATCGCCGAATGATTTCTCTTTGCACCCCCTTTATTCCCCTCATCGCACATCGCTGATTTTGACATGCGCTTCTGTAAGGCTAAGTAAGATAGTGACGGCCCTTATTCCGAGACCGGTATAGCTCGTGGTCAGTGGATCTCTCCGGTACCGCCCCTCATCTCATATGATTTAGAGTGGGGCTGCCCCTTTCGTCATTCTTCCGTCGTCTTCCGGATATACACCACCGTGCTCTCAAATCGTGATCCGTGATGATGTCCTCCGTACCTACTGTGACAGCCTCGAAAAGAGGCAGAGACAAGCTCTGTCATGAGGGACATATGTACCTGTTTGACAAACTGAGTGCCAACCAGTGTACTGAGTTTTGGCGATGCCAATTGCGGGGAAGCTGCAAAGTGCGTCTTCACAAGAGCGTCAACAGCGGCGAGGTGATCAAGGTCAGTGGAAGCCATAGTGACCCTCCGGATGCCGCCAGCATTGACGTAATCGTCCGCCGAAACGCTCTGAAGCGACGAGCCGAAGAAACACAGGAGACTCCTGCGCAGCTCATCAACCATGTGCAAGCCGGAGCAACTCCCGCTGTTCAAGTCGAATTCCCCAACAACCGCGCACTCGCGAAGGTCAGTGTTTTCCCGAACCTGTTGATTGCAGTTCATGCGTATTGGTATCTTATCTTCATCCCTTCCCGCACATCAGGTCGTGAACAGGGTCCGTAAAACCTGTAGTAGCGCGCCTGCCGTCCCGAGCAGCCGGAGTACGATCATCATCCCCGAAAGTTACACAAGGTACGAGCCCGTCCCTGGTCAGAGTGAAAGCTACCTTATCGGCGACTCGGGCTTCCGGGATGATGACAGGATTTTCCTGTCGTGAGTCGACAGGTTAGTCGATCAATCGATTCTGACTTCAATGCCTATTTGATTTTACTCATAGTAAATGAGTTCCGAGAAATATTACTTTGTCTTCCACAGGTGAATGGATATCCCTCGTCGAGAAGATCTATGTAGATGGGACCTTCAGCTTAGCGCCCAAGCTCTTCGCGCAGGTATTCGCGATTCTTGGGGAACGCTCGGGATTCGTGATCCCGCTCTGCTACGCTCTCTTACCGAATAAGAATCAGGCCACCTACAGCCGAATGCTGGATCTCCTTCTCGAAGCCTGGCCCCAATTCAGCCCCCGCCGCGTGTCGCTCGACTTCGAGCTCGGCCTCATCAACGCCTTCCGACTGGCATTCCCAGAGGCCAGGATCGACGGGTGTCTATTCCACCTCGTTAAGAACATGAAGTCAAAGCTGTGCGATCTCGGCCTTTGGACTCGTTACAAGAACGAGACGGAGTTCCCAGTGCAAGCGCGGATGATACCCGCACTCGCCTTCGTGCCGCCAGACGAAATAGACGTTGCACTCATGGAGCTCGCCCCATACCTAGCTGAGGAGCTGATGCCCGTCCTCAATTATTTTGAGGACAATTACATCGGCCGCCTCAGGTTCGTTTTGTTCTCTCCGAGAGCTATGTTTCATGCCTTATCATTTTCTGATCGTTCATTTCGGTTCTTAGGTACGCTCCTGGAGGCGAGATCGCTCGAAGTCCGAGCCGGTTCCCTATCGAGATGTGGACCGTGTTCCAACGCACTCTCGACGGGGAATCGCGGACAAACAACTTTGCCGAGGCAGCACACAGGCGACTCCAGGGCGAGTTCGGAGTGGATCACCCAAGTCTGTGGAGGTTCATCGACGGAATCCGGAAAGTTCAGCATAGCCGGGATGTGGCCTACGAACGTTCAGTAGCGGGTCACGAACCCGAGAAGGAAAAGAGTGAGTACATTGAAGCCGACAAGAAAATCCTCAAAATTGTCAGAGAGTACGGCTCACGAACCATGTTCGAGTATTTACGGGTCTTGCGCACCACTTCCGCATGGAAGCGTCCAATATAACTCCAGCAAGAACAGAGACAGCTGAGAGTGACGATGAATAGACTAGGGAGTGAGACATAATTTGAAGATGTGATATGATTCGAGGATGTGATATAATTTGAGGATGCGATACGATTTGAGACAGTAATATGACTTGAGGAAGTGATATGATGAGATATTATGGGGTAATATGTACGTATATCCGAGGAGATGAATGAAACGCAGAGAGAATCAGGAATAAAACATCCCCAAATGAATAGAGTCAAGAGAACGCCGTCTCGCTCTTCTTTGACGCTACTCCTAGTGGTGATCCGCTGACTCCTACATCATTTTCGATCCTTCTCCAGCGTATTCTCGAGGCAGCTTCAACATCTCCTCCTCATCATCACTTTACAGGGATCATCTTCTCTCGAATAATCGTCACTCTCTGGCGTGGGATAGGACGCTTCCATGCGGGCGTGCTGAACAAAATCGCGTGAATATTCGAACATGCTTGCCAGTCTAAGCTCCAGCGATTTCGAGGACTCTTTTGCCTGCTCAAATGAATTTTCCTTGTCTCCTCATCTATAGGATGATACACAGGCTTTTGATAAAGCACAGAACCTCTCCTTCCACAGGTCGAGTTTGCCTCAAGATCTCATGCTCTCATTGGTCGGGATCAAATCTTGGGAAAGACGCCGCGCCGTTTATAGCTGCATGTATATCATCTGAATGCGAGCCTCTGACGTCGGACGAACTTGGGAACGAGTTCGTTATCGAAAGGTGATCCTCCTTGAACTGGTGGGCGGCTGTCTCGAGTTGTGACTGTATTTTATGAAAGTATCATTCATCCGATAATCGTCCTCCGTCAGTACGGTCGTCGGAAGGAATCGCCATAGGAAAATTCTTATTCTCTCTTCTCTGTTCCAGAAGTTTTCCAGAAGCGAACTCCTGGAATGTCGAGTGCACTCGGGCGAGATAAGAGACTCCTTTTTCTCCCATCATCTCATATGTTCCTCAGGCACCTTCGGATGAAGAATTCGATTCCGCGGAACTCATGAACCACCGCAAATTATGACGACCACATACATTGGTACACATCTTATACTACCCGAGAACCTTTTGAAGGCAAGAGGACGGAAAAATCGTCTCTGAGCATAAAATACATTGGCGTCCCGATAGCACGACCTCTGCCGAGAACTCAGTGGCGAAACGTCCCGGCGGCGAAACGGCCGGCGGCGAAACGTCGGCGGCGAACCGGCCGCGGCGAAACGTCCGGGTTCGTCAAATATATATCTCTCGCAAATGGTCAGAGATTACCGATCGAAGGCTACGGCGCGTTGCGAATTTCGTTCTATAAAAACAGTGACTGCTTTCCGTGCGATTTCGCCATCATTGGCAACCTCAGTAACTCAATCATTCTCGGTCTGGATTTCTGGTCGAGATACGGCGCACAGTGGTCAAAAATCAATTCCTAGGTGGACAAAATTATTTCGATGGTTTTTTCGATAGAGTTCCGTTTCCCGAATGAGGCCTGAGACTCGGAAAGGGTTTCCGGCCTCCAGCTCGCCCGCGGAGACGATATTTGAGGTCTTGAGGACGTTGTTCATTGAAATATCCCACCAGCTTTATGCATGCAGATTTGAGAGAGACGAATGCTCCACGACTTGAATGATGGGTGCCTAACGGATAGGGACTGCCTTCTGGTTCATCGATATCTTTATTCCAGGACGTTTGATACCTCAGTATGTACATGATAAGCGATAACTGATGCGTATCGCAACGATGTGCCCATAGCTCCGCACGATTTGCACGTCCATTTCATCGCTACGTCTCTATCGTCGTCCTCACAGGCTTCCCTGCTCAGCTCGCCGAAGCTGTCGTCCACGTCCGAGTCCCTAGAAAGATCGGAGCCTTCTGATTCAGTTTCGCTGTCCGTTTGCAGTTCTGTATCAAGACGAGATGTTGGAGCTTGGGGCTTCAATAGAGCTTGGGCTTCCGGTTCCAGGGGCGCACTCTTCCTACTCTGCGCAGGCTTTCGGAATTGCGCGATGACGGGATCCGATGTTATGAGAAGCATCGTCATTAGATCGGAGTTTGAGTGCTCCCGACTATCCTTCCTAGTGTGGTACTCCCGGAAATAGCGAGCTTCCTTGTTTCGTGCCTCCTGAGA